AGAGAGCTATAGGGAGCTATGGAAAAGTTACATTGGAGAAAAGGATTAGACTAAAGGCGTAAATCTCAAATGTCACTTCATTTTCTCAACCCTCGGTTAGAAATCACCAGTTTTCTCTTTCCACTTCCCACAGTGAAACTATTCTATAACTTGACCCTTTTCCTCAATGCCTCTACCCTCCCCCATATAGACTCACAAACATACAGTAGTTGCTCAGAGAAATGAGGCTAGCCAAGTATCTTGTGAGAAAGTATAGGAAGTGAGAGAGAATTTCTGTTTTCCTGTACCTCCAGACTTGAATATTCAAGGTATAGTTTTTTTTTTTTGTTTGTTTTTTCATCCGTTCTCTCTGGGATCTCACATCAGTTATAACCACCTTCCCCTACTCCATTGTCTTTAGTATATCTGCTTTTTCCTTAACTCCTATCCTTTGCCTACAACTTGAAGTATCTCCATTCTAATGAAAATTTCTAAAACTTAATATTATTTTTCCCCTTCTCCAAATGGCTTAAGAGAATAATCTATATGCCTTGTTGACTCTACTTTTTAAATTTTTAATCAGACCTCAGTCTAGAACCATTTGCCTGCTGCCCAACCTGTTCGGTGGCGTAACTATGACAGAGGTCGCCAGTGGCATCCTGTTAGCTTTTTTTCAGTTCTTATGGATGCTGACTTCTTTATATTACTTACCAGTGTTGACTTTGCCTTCCTTCATAAAACTCTTCTCCCACTGGGGCCACTTTCTTCTGATTGTCTTTCTCTGCCTGGTAATGCTTACCTGAAGTCTGCTTTGCTCTTCCTTTTAAATATTGAATATATTCATTCTTTCTCTCTCCACAGACACACACACAATTTTTTTCCTTGTGGTGATCCCATTCAATCCATTAATTTCAGTTGCCACCAGCAAACATATGGTGCCTCCTAAGTCGTTTATCTATAGATCCACACTTGTCTAATTCTGCTTAGTCTTAGAGGTCTCTAGGCCTTGTAGACTTGGAGTTCTTCTGCAGCTGTAGCATGGGCTTTCCCTCCAGAAAGATGTAGTTTCTCTGTTGGTGGTGGTGGTCTTGTTAGTTGCCATTGAGTTGATTCTGACTCATGGCGACCCCATGTGTACAGAGAATTGCTCGGTAGGGTTTTAAAGGCTGTGACCTTTCGGAAGCAGATTGCCAGGCCTGTCTTCTAAGGCACCTCTTAAACCCTTTGTCACCAAGTCAATTCTGACTCATAGCAACCCTATAGGACAGAGTAGAACTGCCCCATAGGGTTTCCAAGGAACAGTTGGTGGATTTGAACTACTGATCTTTTGGTTAGCATCCGTAGCTCCTAACCACTGAGCCACCAGGGCTCCGAGGCACCTCTAGGATCTTACAATTTTGCACCCCACTTTTTAGATAGTCTGAAGAGTTAGTAAAATCTAAGGGATTATTAAAACACCAGTTCTTGCTCTTCAAAATTAAGAGACAATAATAAATATCTAGTTCTTAGGGTAAATCTCTAAACATTATAACCCAGACTCAAATTACAGTGAAACCTTTTGGAGCCACAACTCAACGTGACTGCTTTGTTTTTCCAGGGTCTAGCAAGTTTTCCATCATTGACAGGGTGCAGCTTACCACTTTTCTGTCGCTGTTAGTGGAAAATATTTGAGTTTTCCCTCTCTGACAAGTTTCTGCCTTACATGGGGTCTGGCTTTTGGCCTTCCTAGGTTTTACTGTACTTTTGCCAATGGGCCAGCCCCTGCAGACTGAAGCCGTTAAAGCTTGAGACCCTTGCATATCTAAGACCTGCCCATCTCCACCTTCCCAGAGCCACCACCCCCACCCACATAGGCCAGATGGGCTTACATACCAGGCATAAACCAAGGCATGCTTTCTGACTTAAACTCTTTTAAAAAAAAAAAAAAAGTCATGCCCCTTTGAATACCAAACAAAATTGGCTCACGGACAAGTTAAGAAATTCAGCAAAGTCAAAAATCCATCCTGGCTGAGCCCAGAGTCTCAAACTTCACTTGCTGTTTTGGTCCCCCAAAAGCCATTTCCTGTACCTTTCTCAAGGCTTTTCTGCCCATTCAGATATTATGGAGATAAAATATGTCAGTTTCATTACACCTAATTCTCATTTGGAACCCTGGTGATGTAGTGGTCAAGAGCTCAGCTGCTAACCAAAAAGTTGGCAGTTCAAATCCAGCAGCTGCTTCTTGAAAACCCTATGGGGGCAGTTCTGCTCTGTCTTATAAGGTCACTATGGGTCGGAACCAAATTGATGGCACCTAACAAATAACAATTCTGAATTGGAGAGGTTTAATTTACTTATAGCCATGGTTGCTGTGATAGTCTTTCTGGTGCACCCTTCGCCCCTACTTCTCTTCCAGTTCCCATTATACTCACCCATTCCATGAAAGTGAGAGCTGGTTTCCCTCACAGGACCTTAGGCAGAGAGCAGAGCAGAAAGCATGTTTTCTGAGGACAGGCAACTACTTCCATTAAAGCAATGAGCTGAGTCACACATGCTCAGTTCTATCATTCAAACTCACCAATCAGATATTATTCCTCCTTCCTTGCAGTCAGATAGGGTGTGGAGGTCACCAATTACTTTTTTATTCCCAGTCCTTTAGAAAAGGCTTCAAACTGGAGCTTGTGTCTTTCTAGGGGACCAGCAAAAATTTCTACGTTGTACTGTGTAGGCAATTTCTAAATCTTCAGCTTCCATATATGTATTCTTTCTCAAAATGGATTTGCCTTTAAAAAAAAAAAAGTAAAAAAAATTAGTGTTCTTCAGATTCTCCAGAACTCTTACCCTTTTCAGGAACAAAAGTGTTATCTCTCACCCAATGGAATGTAAATACTGTGCATTGCCCCAAGGTGTAACAACCTCCAAAGTGGGCAAAACCTTTCAGGCACCTAACTGTGGTATAATTTGAAAAGGCATTGTTCCTCAAGGAATAACTACTAAAAGGAAAACACTTGAAAATTAAGTCAGGCTTTTTCTGAGAAAAAATAAATCTGATTTGGTTTATGAGTTTGACTGTGAGCACTGGTTTTACTAGTTACAATATCGTGGACGTTTTCCATAAACTGAGTATCATTGTTTTGACACATTTAAAATGCACATAAAATATACAGAACACTAGATTATGTCCAGGAGCTCTGGTGGTGCAGTGGTTTAGAGCTCTGCTGTTAACCTAAAAGGAGCCCTGGTGGTGCAGTGTTTAAAGCACTTGACTGCCAACTGAAAGGTTGGAGCTTTGAATCCACTAGCCACTTCATGGGAGAAAGATGTGGCTGTCTGCTTCTGTAAAGATTACAGCCTTGGATACCCTATGAGGCAGTTCTCTGTCCTATTAGAAAAAACCAAACCCACTGCCATCGAGTTGATTCCGACTCATAGCGACCCTATAGGACAGAGTAGAGCTGCCCCATAGAGTTTCCAAGGAGCGGCTGGTGCATGTTCAAAATGCTGACCTTTTGGTTAGCAGCTGTAGCTCGCTGTAGCTCTTAACCACTGCACCACCAGGACTCCCTGTCCTATAATGTTGCCATAAGTTGGAATCGACTTGACTCATTGACAACGGGTTTGGTTTGGATTTTTGCTAATCTAAAGGTCTGTGGTTGAACCCAACAGCTGCTGTGAGGGAGAAAAGACCGCTCCTGTAAAGATTACAGCCTAGGAAACCCTATGAGGCAGTTCTACTCTATCATATAGGGTCACTATGAGTCAGAACTGACTCTTTGGCCTACAACAACAGATTATGTAGAGGGAGTACAAATTTTAAAAAAGTCTTTTTTTTAAAGGGCATACAAGCAAAAGAGTTTGAAAACTATTTTCCTACTTTATGAACCAAGGAGGAAAGTTTAACAGTTAAAATAGCTTATTAAGAAATGTTAATTGGATTTTTGCAGAGTCCTTGGGTGGCCCAAAGGCTAAGTGCTGCACTACTAGCCAAAACGTTGATAGTTTGAACCTACCCAGAGGCACCTTGGAAGACGGGCCTGACAGTCTACTTCTGACAGGTCATGGCCTTGAAAACCCTATAAGACAGTTCTACTCTGAACACACAGGTTCACCATGAGTCAGAATCGACTCAACAGCTACTACTAACAACAATAATTGGATTTTGAATTTTATTTTTGTTTTAACTATGAAAGTAGTAAGTACTCATTTTAACAAATGAAGACACTACAGTTATATAAAGTAAAATTGAAAGTCATCATCTTCCTGCTACTCCTCCTCCAATCCCAACCTCCAGAGGTAATCACCATGAAGCCTTTGATTTGTATCCTCAGCCTTTTTTCTGTACTTACACAAATAGAGACACATAGAGTTCTCTTCTCCCTAACAAATGTAATTTGTGACAAATGTAACAAATGTAAATTGTGAACATTTCCCCAAATATAGAGATTTATACCACTTTTAATGACTGCCTAGTAATCTGTTGAATGTATACTGTTACTAATTTATCCATTCCCCATTGTTTTGTTTCAATTTATTGCCTTTGTAGTCAATTTTGTGGTGGAAATTGTTGAGCATACATTTTCCACTAGAGGTAGTCATTTTGTAGAATAAGTTTTTAGGATAAGCAGTTTTAATTTTGATAGGAGGCTTTCAGATTACTTTTCCAAAAATGTAAATATTCCCAAACTTTCCCAATGTGTGATATCTTCTTTAAATTTTGCCAAATTAATGAGCAAAAAAAAAGATAACTTGGTTATTATAATTTATATTTTTTTTAATGATTATGAGCCTATACATTTGTTTATCATTTGCCTATTTTAAAATTAAAGTGTCTTTTTATCATTGGCTTGATCTTGATATTTTAAAAACATTCTCATCTCTTTGGAGTGCTTTGAATATGACCTTGATCAAACAATGAATTAAACTAGGTGGTTTTCAATTATATGGTATCCTGGTTCCCTTGTGTTAAAATGACATTTTGTGACAACTTTTTTTCCCAGAGTATATTCCAGTGTTACATCTCTGTTTTATTGATCCGTTAACAGTTACGGGAAGAAAGCCGGAGGCTGGCTTTGGCTGCCAAAAGAGAAAAGAGAAAGGAGAAGAGAAGAAAGAAAAAGGAAGAACAAAGAAGAAAACTAGAAGAAATCGAAGCCAAGAATAAAGAGAATTTTGAACTCCAAGCTGCTCAAGAGAAAGAAAAGCTTAAAGTTGAAGGTATTTTCTCTAAACAACTATCCAGTTTGCTTCATGTATACATTCTAGTCAAACTTATAATTGTTTGAATATCAGTCACTTAAAGTGAAAACAGCCTTCTAAGTTGTTACACTGTTAGTGTTTATGTGCTTTTTTCCTTTATTGTCTCTTCCTCCAACTTACTATTATGAAAAATTTCAAGCCTACAGACAAGTTGAAAGAATGATAAAATGAATACTTGAATACCCTCATTAACATTTTACCATATTTGCTTTATCTTTTTCTCTCTAAATATATATATACATTTTTATCAGCTGTTTGAAAGTGAACTGCAGATATTCTGACATGTACCTATAAAAATTTCAGCATACATCCTAAGCATGACATTTGCTTACATAATCACAGTGCCATTTATAATCCTTGAAAAAAAAAGACAATAACTCTGTAGTATTATCTACCATCCAGACCATATTTAAATTTTCATACTAGGCTATAATTAAAAGATGACTTGAGGTGGAGATATTGTGGGGAGGAACTGTTGCCATTTAACCACCAAATATGTATGCAGTGTGTTTCTTTTTGTTTTTTAATTTTCTCCTGCCTCCAGCCTTTTATTTTGAAGGATTTCAAACTATAGAAAAGTTTAAGGATTAATATAATGAAAACTTTTATGTCATCTAAATTCTTAACTGATAACATTTGACATATTTGTTATATCTATCTCCTCTGTCTCTCTTTTTTTTGAAGAGTTTGCACGTAAGCTAAGTGTGTCATGCAAAATCACCCCTAAATACTTGATTATGTATTTCCCAGAAAAGAACATTATTTTACATAACCACAGTAACATTATTATATCTAAGAAATTTAAATTGTCCAAAAAATATTCCTTATAGCCTACCTGATATGCTTTGGTTAGGCCTGAGGAATAGGAAATTCTTGAGAATAGATCATTCATATCCACCTCATTACCAATGAATGCTGGAATGACTGACAGTTTTATGTCTAGTCATAGCAAAGTAACTCTTGGTTTTTGTTTTTTCTTCTTGAAGTTTGTAAAGCTACGAATATTCGAGGACCACTTAAAACTTGCTAATTCACTATTCCTACTTTTACAGATGAGCCTGAAGTCTTGACTGAGCCTCCAAGTGCCACAACCACTACTACCATAGGTATATCTGCAACCTGGACAACTTTGGCAGGTTCCCATGGTAAAAGAAATAATACCATAACTACAACTAGTTCGAAGAGGAAAAACAGGAAAAATAAAATTACTCCAGAAAATGTTCAAATTATATTTGATGATGATCCACTACCAATTTCATACAGTCAGCCAGAAAAAGTGAACGGCGAATCCAAGAGCAGCAGTACCAGTGAGAGTGGGGACAGTGATAATATGAGGATTTCCAGCTGCAGTGATGAAAGTAGTAACAGCAACAGCAGCCGGAAAAGTGACAATCATTCACCAGCTGTGGTCACCACCACTGTGACCAGCAAGAAGCAGCCATCAGTTCTGGTTACATTTCCAAAGGAGGAGAGAAAATCTGTTTCTGGCAAGACTTCAGTAAAGTTAGTTCTGATTTTCATTTTACTATGCATAGTTTTGCTCAACTGCTAAATGAAAGTTCGGCAGTTTGAACCCCCCAGCCGCTCCGAGGGAGAGTGACGTGGCAGTCTGCTTCTGTAAAGATTTACAGCCTTGAAATCCTATGAGGCAGTTCTACTCTGTACTATAGGGTCACTATGAGTTGGAACCAGCTTGATGGCAATGGGTTTAGTATCTTCATTAAACACTTTGTTCCTGAATTTTGTAGTAATACAAGTGACTTAGCAAGTTGCAGGGTAAGGATTTTTTTTGTGTGTGTTAAGGAAGGCACAATTTTAATTGAAGACCACCCGTTTTTTAGATTTTATGAGAAATTATTTTTGGTACATAATTTCTTCTTTTTGATTGTTAAATTTAGCTATGAAAAGCATTGATTTTGCTTTTCTCAGGGATTATTGTGATTTACTCTGGTAAATTTGACTGCTAGGTAGTATCTTCTTAAAAAACTGGCCCTTTGTATTATGCTAAGTATTGACAAGAAGTGAAAAATAAGTCCTCACTTGTTCACCATATTTAATCTAAATATAAATAAAATAAAATTATGTAATAGATAACCTTTTTCATTTAAGAAATTCTACATCTGTTCAATATTTAATATACTTTCCCCTGCTCCCCTCCCCATAAAGATTGTCAGAGACTATCAATGAAGTGACCAGTAATTCTCTGTCCACTTGCACAAAATCTGGTCCATCTCCCCTTTCCTCTCCAAATGGGAAGTTAACAGTAGCAAGTCCTAAGCGTGGACAAAAGAGGGAAGAAGGATGGAAAGAAGTTGTAAGAAGGTGAGTGATTGATTTTTTTTTTCTTTTATTGTACTTTAGCTGAGGTTTACGGAACAAATATTTTCTCGTTAAACAGTACACATACTGTTTTATGACATCCGTTAACAGCCCCACGACATGTCAACATTCTCCCTTCTCGACCTTTTTTTTTTTTTGGTGAAAATACACCATTTCAAAAATTTCAATATGCACAATTCAGTGATATCGATTACGTTCTTCCAGTTGTGCTGCTATTCTCACTTTAGATGAAGGTTTATAGAAAAAAATAGTTTCTTATTAAACAGTTAGTGCACGTGTTACCCTGTGACAATGGTTAACAACCCCACTACGTGTCAGCACTGTCCTTACTCAACCTTGGGTTCCCTATCACCAGCTTTCCTGTCCCATTCTGCCTTCTAGTTGTTATCCCTGGACTGCTGTGCCTCATTAGTCCTGTTTTGTTTTATGGGGCTGTTCAATACCCAGCTGAATGGTGAACCTTGGAAGTGACTTTACCACTGAGCTAAAAAGGTGTCTGGGGGCCATACTCTCGGGGTTTCTCCAGTCTCCTTTAGGCCAGTAAATCTGGTCTTTTTTTGTGTTAGAATTATGTTCTACATCCTTCTCCAGCTCTGTCCAGAACCCTCTGTCGTGATCCTGGTCAGGGCAGTCAGTGGTGGTAGCCGGGCACCATCTAGCTGTACTGGACTCAGTCGGTTGCAGGCCTTGGTAGCTGTGCTCCTTTAGTCCTTTGGACTAATCTTTTCCTTGTATCCTGTTCTCTTCATTCTCCGTTGGTCCGAAAGGGGTGAGACCAGTGGAGTATCTTAGATGGCTGCTCACAGGCATTTAAGACCCCAGACGCTACTCACCAAGGTAGAATGTAGAACATTGTGTTTATAAACTGTGCTACGCCAGTTGAGCTAGATGTTCCCCGAGACCGTGGTCCCCACAGCCCTCTGCCCAGCAATTCGGTCCCTCAGGGAGTTTGGATGTGTCTATGGAGCTTCCGTGGCCTTTACTTGTACGAGTTGTACTGGCTTCCCTAGCATTGTGTACTGTCTCACCCTTCACCAAAAATAACACTTATCTATTGTCTATTTGGTATTTCCCCCCCCCCACCCCTCCCATCCCTCATAACCAACAAAGATTGTTCCTTTTTGTGTGTAAACTTTTTCATGAGTTTTTACAGTAGAGCTCTCATACAATATTTGTCCTTTTGTGATTGACTGATTTCACTCAGTGTAATGTCCTCTAGTTTCATCCATGTTATGAGATGCTTCACAGATTCAT